ATACAGAGTCTACAAAAACTACTACACATAAGTGTATCTAAATAAAACAAATATTCACCTGTATTCTATTTCCTTTCTTTTGACCACTCCAAGTATTCATTTATCGAATAAAATGATTGATTTAAGAGAAAATTATTTATAGCTAACTTAAATTTTTTATAATCACTCGATAATTTTCTTAAATTATGTGGCAGATTATTAAATATTTTAATACCCATACAACACAAACTATTCTTATATTTGGCCAAATTTATCAATGGCACGTGTAAGCTGGTACTTTGTCGTGTATTTATGACATGTATTTCAGCATTTAGTGCAAACAAATGCATATTTTTCACCACCAGAAGCAAAAGCGAAAGTATATATTGAGAATAAAAAGGCAACATGTTTAAATATTTAAAAAATCCCCGGCAAGAGGCTCTAGAATTTACATTCATAATACTCCTTATAATTCTTTTTTGCACTATGAAGACATCCTTGCTATTAGTGGCATTTCCCCAAAAGGCAATTCCATATACAATTATAGAGTGAGCATAGGCAAAATATATCATTCTTAGATCATTAATAGATAGTAACGATTTCAGAGACCTAATGGCAAAGCAAGCAGAATTTAATTTCTTTATCGTTTTAGATATATGTCCTTGCCAAGATAAGGATGGATCCAAAGACACCCCCAGAAAGTCCATAACTTGTGTACTATTAATATGAGAATGTAAATACTTTATAGGGGAGTTTACAATATCTTTCCTTATCGTTGTAAAATACATACAATATGTTTTATTTAATGGGACCCAAAGGTTCAATAAATTCTTCCCACATCAGTTCCATTCCACATTTATCACAAGGACGCAAAAATATTGAATTCCACAGTTTACCCTCCTCAATCCCATAATTAAATTGTGCTTTGTGTGTTCTGATAGAATAACCGCAGTTTTCCGTACAACGCCACTTCACGCAGTTGCTGTGGAGTAAGACCGAACAATTCGACTCAGCAACCGAATCTGGTTAACATAATACACACCCCTGCCGCTAGTTTACGAGTAACTAGCGACCCGTTCACCGATGTGTTGTCGTAACGCCGGCAGAGCGCGTGTGAGAGCGAAGGGATAGAAGGAGGGGAAGGAGATGGTCTAATCGGTTTAATCCGCTTTAATCCGTATTGTCCGACAGCGTTCGACAGTTCGTTAGTGCCCCACACTAGGCTGATTATCGGTTATTATTAATTTACTCTGTGCAGGAGGTTATAATTATTGACATTCATATTTTATCATTCGATTGTCGACTTGTCTGAATGGCATGCACGATCTTTCCTTCTTTGCAATGTGTGAGATGTTGGTTAGGACATATAGAATTTATTTCACTCTCTCTCCTATTATTAACAGTGATAGCCTTATAATATATAATGGCTGAATATAATGTAAAAGCAGATACAGAGTATTCTAATTCGTCCAATACGTCATCGACGTCTGAAGCCATTTCCAGAAACGTTCAAAATGTTGGCCCATTTACTTTCGTTGAAGTAAAGTGTGAAATTGAGGTAAGTGGGGGGGGGGGAAAGGAGTAAAAGTAAAGGTATCCCCGTAACAAGCCGTGGAGGCCCATAGGGTTGTGAGATGTTGAGGTTCCCACATTTTCTAGACAATCGGCTAATAGATGGCGGCAAGGTTGTCAGCCCTACGCGCCGGCCGCAAAGTAGTTATTAAATTCTTCATTAGTGTGCATTTTAACAAGAGACTGTTTTTAGTTTTGACGTATTGTACGATATTCGGTGAGCTACGAGGCTTTGAAGGCATTTTGTTGCATTGATCAATTTATTTATTTGCAGTCATGTGCAAGTTTCTGAAATTAGTACAGTATTTCTTTTATTTTTCTTGTTATTAATATATGTTTTGGCCTTCCCTTGCCACTTTCAGTTACATTGTATGTTGGAAATTGTTTCGCCTATATCATCCATTGAGGGAGGCACCAGTTATAATGTCATAAAAGTGTAATGTTTGTAAGGTAAAAATAATTATAATATGTTTAAAATTGAAGTGGATAAACAGTCCAAGATTTTTCTCTTAGAGGATAAACACTGTAGTGCACTTGTAATGTGAGGATATATGATGTAGTTCTGTTCTTGATGTCTTATTCGCTGAGTGTGGTATTCTGGATGATGAATGATGGCCTTCTACATCCAGCAAACATGGGCCAGTGACAACGTAACTAGACCAACATTTTACATTAGACACCAGTTGCAAAGAATACCGTACTCAACAAACAAGACGTCCACAACAGAACTACATCAGATATGCACATATGACAGGTTCACTACAGTGTTCATCCCTTAAAGAGAAAATCTTGGATTGATTATCCATTCCAATTTTAAACACATTACAGTTACTTTTAACCTTAACAAATGTTTAACTTTTATTTAAATTTAATAGGTGTTTTGCTTGATGGGAGGATCATGCAGTGAAATGACTCGTGACATACGATATAGCTGAGGATGGCAATGGAAGATATTCACATAATTTTTTAATTGCTTCTGTTTTGTAAATGTTATCACCTCTTCATTTCCTGTTAGGCAAAACGAAGATAATATTCACTTCAATGTAATGGTATCTCTCTGTAGCTTGTGAATATTTTCTACTGTACCGGGAGTTATTCAAGACCTCTTTAAATTGTTGACAATTTTGTAGAAGGAGTCATGGAAAATATTCTTTTTTTCACAGGAAAATGAAGAATACTGTTCAGCTGCTAATTGGGAGCATTTCCTTTGTCGTTCCTCAGTGAAAGGAAACAAGGATGAACATGATGATTGCACTGATGAAAAGAATCAAAGGATTAACGAAACCCACGAAGTTCACATGAACATAGCGCCTGTTAAGGGATCTGTTAGGTCATGTTCATTTACAAATTATGGGGACAGGCCATATGTGTGTGGTGTTTGCGGCAAAGGTTTTGGTTATGCTTGCAGTCTCAGGGTGCACAACAAGATACACACCGGAGAGAAACTTCACCTGTGTCAACTTTGTGGGAAAAGATTCGTTACAAGTAGTGAGCTCAAGAAACATGGGCTTTCTCATACAGGAGTTAAGCCACATGTATGTAAAATGTGTGGAAAGGGATACATTCAATGTGGAGATTTACGAAGGCACTTACGGACTCATACAGGTGAAAAACCTTTCTCATGTACATATTGTGGTAAGGGGTTTACAGATAATTCAAATTTAAAGCAACATTTGGTCATACATACAGGAGAGAAGCCATACAAATGTGATGAGTGTGGGAAATGTTTCGGCAATTCCGGAAATCTTAAAACTCATAATCTGACACACACTGGTGAAAAACCTCACAAATGTAAAAGTTGTGGCATTGGCTTTAGTACCCGTGGCAATTTAAAAGCCCATTTACTGACACATTCTGAAAAGAAGCCATTCGTGTGTGGCGTGTGTGGGGAAGGGTTTTGCAGAAATTCTCAGTTGAAAACGCACACATCTAGACATATTGGTGAGAAACCTTATACATGTGATATCTGTAGTAAATGTTTTTTTACAAAGGGCAATTTGAGAACACATTATATAACTCATACTGGTCAGCAACACCCATTTACATGTTCTGTTTGTAATAAAGGATTCACGTATAGAGGAAATTTGAAGCAGCATATTGAGACACATTCAGCAGAAAAGCAGCAGATCTGTAATGAATGTGGTAAAAGTTTCAGTAGTAGTACATGGTTCAAGAAACATATTCTGTCCCACTCTGCAAAGAACAACATTGCCAACAGTGCATGAACCCAGACACTGAATATAGAAGCAATAAAGTGAATTGTTCGAGTTTTATGGGCCCTCATAAATACGATGTTGTGGGGGTGAAGGTCCGCAGAAATTACTGTGAATTTAAGTGGAATATTTTCTTGGAATTATGTAAAATGTGTTTGTTATTGTTTATTCAAACTGAATACTGTTTTATCATCCTTTCATACAGTTAACTGTTTGTAAATATCTCACATCAGATAGTCATATAAGAGTTGACTCCATTTGAATATCAAGGTATATACTGTTTATTTTAAAATGAAATAATTGCTGTTCATTTAATCTATAATTAACGCACATCATTCCTGTGGCAGCCATTGGTACCACTGTTCTTAGTAGTGTTCTTAGCTACTTTGTCCATCCATGATACTTGTTTTAATTCCAGCAGAAATTGTTATTCACTGAATTGACAAAATGTTCCGTGGAAGTTATCCACAAATGGAACATGAAATGAGTTACAAATGCCCTTTACTTACTTACTTATGGAGCTGAGCCCTTCTTGAGAAGCCGCCAATTGTGCAGCCACTCAAGAATTTCCCAGTATTTTATGGAACCTGAAGGTTCATTACCATGTTCACAAGGGCCCTCCACTGGTCCCTGTCCTGAGCCAGATCAATCCAATCCATATCATCTCATTCTGTGTCTCTAAGAACCATTTTTATATTGTCCACCCACCTACGCCTTGGTCTTCCAAATGGTCTCTTTCCTTCTGGCTTTCTCACCAATATCCTATATGCATGCCTCTTCTCCCCCATTCGTGCTACATGCCTTGCCCACCTCATCCTCCTTGACTTGATCATTCTAATTATACTTGGAGAAGAGTACAAGTTATGAAGTTCCTCATTATGCAGTTTTCTCCAACCTCCTATCACTTCATCTCTCCTTGGTCCAAATATTCTCCTCAACACTCTGTTCTCAAACACCCTCAGTCTGTGTTCCTCCCTCAATGTTAGAGACCAAGTTTCACACCCATACAGAACCACAGACAAAATTATAGTTTTGTATATTCTAATTTTTATGTTTTTGGGCAACAGACGAGAAGACAAAAGGTTCTGGACTGAATGGTAGCAAGCATTACCCGAGTTCAGTCGCCTCTTAATTTCCTCCCGAATCAGGTTTCGATCTGTTATCGTTGTCCCCAAATATCTGAATTGTGCCACATTTTCAAAACATCTGTTTCCTATCTTTATGTCATGATTTTGCCCTGCATTTTGATGATGAGACAGTAACATGTACTTAGTTTTCTCTGTGTTTATTTCTAGACCACTCTCATTACTTGCGTCAATTAAAGTTTGTGTGTTTTTCTTTATGGTATCTACATCATCGGCATAGACCAACAGCTGATGTGTCCCGTTTAATTTCAGTCCAATTTGGTTTCCATTTTCTTTAGCTTAGGTTGTTTATCCAGAGGATCTGTCCAAGTCCAAGGCTTTGTGTTCATTTTCATAACAAAGCAATTTTTTATGGCGAGGAGTTGTCAGCCCCACGCCCAACCCCCAAGCTGGAGGACCACCCCTTGTCGGCTGTCCGCGACTGCTTATTCAATATATTCGCAGCTTCCCTCCATAACTGGAGGGTGTCTCCTCCATCCGCAACCTGAGGACGCGCCACGCTGTGGTGACAACGGACCCACCTAACATGGTTACAAATGTCCCTACTGAGTTAATGCCTTCTTGAAACTTTAAATTTTCCACTTTGATACCAACCGTGAATTGTTTTTGGTTGTGTACCTAAGTCAGATTTGAAGCTTTCGTAGAGTCTGAAGTTAATAAAATCTTCTCAGGCTATCAACCATGTCAGAGTCTGATGATGGAACAGATGGTACCTGGTACAGTAATTCTTAACCAACTTACATGGCTAACAGCTTAAGATTTTACTACATTGCATATATACATGCCACATGGAAAACACCAACTGTGATACATGTTTAAGACATTTTTCCTATTCTTAAGACACTGTATCCACATATGAACACTGCAGACTGTTTACAGGCTTTGTAATATGCAGGATGGTTGATGGGCAGAATCACCCATCTTCACAATACAGTAACATGTGAAATAAGGAAGACAGAAGTTTTCAGTAAAATGTTATTAATCAAATGCATTGTATATTCATATTGATAAAAAATTATTAGTCAATTTTCATGTAAATATGCTGTTTACCTCCTCCATCTGCACTGAGATACTATATGGTTCCCTCAGTTGCCCTGGGTTTCATAGGATTCAAGTTTGAATTGCATCCTGGAGACTATCCTGACAGTTGTCTCTGGGGTTTCATCAGGGGCACTGGTAATATACTCGGATAATACGTTATAATCAGTCAAGTCCACCTTCTACGTCTTTGGGAAATCATTATTTCCCCATATATAACCCATACTATTGATTAATGAACTATGGCTCAAGCTCAGTTCAGTCAGTAGTGTGACTGTCAGGCATATTGCCAGCATTGCCTGTGTGCATGTTGTCTGATTCCTGTCAGTGGTATTTGGCATTAAATTAGTAATCATAAACTTCTGTCATCTCCAGTCGGTACTGAAGTGAAGAATACTAGATCTGTACCAGTGTCTATATGTCACGCTCAAGACAAGATGCATTAATTTATTTGGTAATTAAGTAGAGGGATAAGATTTCATTATTCAGTAATGGTTAAATTTTCCGTAAATTGGCGTATTATTATGCAGGTGTACAGGGGCATAAACATAACACACATAAACCTTAAGACTTTGGTGGAGGTGAGTGGCCACTTGTTAACTCCTGCTTTTTCCTCCCCGGGAAGACCCCCGTGTGGTACATAAAATTTTAGTCTTGGCTGTAGCCATAGCCTCACAGATTTCAAGACTGTTACGTTAATTTCAAGTTTCAAATAAAGTATAGGCAGCATCTGGTAGTAGCTTCCAACTTCCACCACGATTTTAATAATAGCAATTGCTCATATAATTAACCGTAATGTGGCTACTTCGATTACCATTTTCTTCGTCCACCATTCTGCACATTACCGCACATAAGAAACCGTAAGTAACCTAATTTTTTAACAATATTTGTGTATTTGAATCCCTCTTCTACTTTTACCCAGATCTTAGAGAGGTCGGGCACAGATCATAATTAGATGATGTCCGCCATTTTGCAATGGAAGATTTATACGAAAAAGTAAACGAAGCCGGCTAACCAAGGGAGCACGTGAGTTGGACATCGTTGAAAAGTGTTTATTTTAATACTGTAAGCGTGGGCATTATTGCCCTAAGTTCGTACGGTATATTATGTGGCTGATGAACAAAGCTGTGGATCCAGTTGATATGTCACTTTAGTAACTGGGCATATGTGATCGTTCGCAGGATATGCCAAACCAGACGAGTGCAGGAATGAATGCGTTTTCGTTGTTTATGAAATATTGGATTGTGCTAAAGTAACAGCATCCGTGTAGATCCAATGTTGATAACAGACGACAGTATTTCCCACGTGGCTTGTGTTACCTGCCCTATTCACAAATAGTCTGGCTCTGCATCCTCAAGAAATCCAGGAAGTATACCAACTGCAAATTTTCCTACCTCGAGGCCCCTACTAGCCCTGGTAAGTATGTGAACTAAATGCACATATGTTTCTTGTGGTGTGAAACGTCTCCTAAATTGACGGAAGTATATTCCCGTAGATTGAGGGTGTTTGAGAACGGTGCTGAGGAGAATACTTGGGCACAAGAAGGATGAAATAACAAGAGGCTCCAGAAATTGCATAATGAAAAGCTTCATGGTTGCACTGTTCCAAAATATTGGGATAAGCATATAAAGGAAGATGAAATGTGTTGGACATGTAGCACGCATGAGTGACTTGAGAAGTGTATGCTGAATTGAGAGGGAAGAAACCACTTGGAAGATCGAGACATAGACAGGTGAATGATATAAAATGGATGTTAGATGGAAGATAGTGTAGTAGATTAATTTAGCCCAGGGTAGGGATAAGAAAGTGCTCTTATTTGTTTGTTTGCACTTCATTTTGTGGTACTGAGCATATAGCTTCCATTGACTGAATGAAAGAATAATAATGATCTGGAAGGAAGATGTCATGGTCCAATTAGGTAGTATCTCAGTAATGGCCTGAAGTGAGTGAGGATAGCCATGGTAAATCTTTATTGTTTGTATCCTGCTGTGCATTATATATGGTATTATTATACAACTATCAACCCATCAAATTTGTAATAAATAACCAATGTTATTTTATTATCATTCATTTCATTATGTACATTTGCTACGTTTTGATCCAACTGGGTTATCATGCAGTTTTTCATGAAATGTACTATTCGCTATTGAATTGTATTTTTGGTCTCTGACAGTAAGGGAGGAACATAGACTGAGGGTGTTTGAGAACAGGGTGTTGAGGAGAATATTTGGACCGAAGAGGGATGAAGTGACAGGAGGTTGGAGAAAACTGCATGATGAGGTGCTTCATAATTTGTACTCTTCTCCAAGTATAATTAGAATGATCAAGTCCAGGAGGATGAGGTGGGCAGGTCATGTAGCACAAATGGGAGAGACGAATGCATATAGGATATTGGTGGGAAAGCCAGAAGGAAAAAGACCAAGGCGTAGGTGGGTGGACAATATTAGAATGGATCTTAGAGAGATAGGATGGGATGGTATGGATTGGATAGATCTGGCTCAGGATAGGGACCAGAAGAGGACTCTTGTGAACACGGTAATGAACCTTCGGGTTCCATAAAATGCTGGGAAATTCTTGAGTAGCTGCAGAATTGGCAGCTCCTCCAGAAGGGCTCAGCTCCATGAGTAAGTAAAGTAAGTATGTATTTTGAATGTGGATCCATATTACTAATCAGTATGAATTTCATTTGGAAAGAAAGGTGCAACAGGCACTGCCAAAGTGTGCATCAATGAAAGGATTTGCAGCAGTGTGTAGATAATGCAGTTGTTAAAAAAAAAGTTAGAAGTATTGGACAGTTTTAGCATCCAGGCTTATGTCATGAAGATATGATTGGTACGTGCATGTATCTGCAGTGTATGAAATATATGTACATGCACACGCGCTCACTTTATGGTAGTGATCTGGCAGTCATGAGTAGTAGTGATTGTGTATAATTAATTCCTTGCTGGTAATTTTGTATAATTGTTGATTATTATTCATAATAACCACATCATTCACTTTAGCTGTAACACAGATATATGCAGGCACTATGCCACATTAATTCTTCAGGTCAGTCAGCCTAAAACTGACAGATTCTTTTCTGTGCAGAAGAGCAAATGCGTTTGGTATGTACACATTGAATGTCAGTGCATATGAGTATTTGGAGTCTTCTGAGCTCATACAATGTATATCATCTGTGAAGGTTTCGTGGCAATTTGATATTTGTGTGAGAAATCCTGAAATATTTCAGTGACTGTGTTATTTTGAATTGCTGATGCTGAGAAAGCACTTGTGCTTTTGCATAGTGTTATGGGCAGGAAGAAATGTCCACAAGCAATGAAGAGCTTGAGAATATTTATCAATAGGGGAATTTTTTGTTGTGCAGATTGCCATGGAAGAAGAACCTGTAATAAAAGAAGAGCCGTATTCAGACGGTGAGTTGGATCCACTGCAGACAAACAGTGAAACTGCTGGAGAGAGTGAGGTGAGTCACAAATAAGGTATTTGATGCATTCTGAATATGATGATGTCAAATGCACAGTAAAGTAAAATAAGAAGTAAAGCTATCCCCGTACCAGGCCCTGAAGGCCCGTAGGGTTGTGCGACATTGAGGGTCCTACACTATCTGGACAATCGGCTCAAAGATGGCGGTAAGATTGTCAGCCTTCCATGCTGGCCGTGCTTTACTCCCCAGGAAGATTATTTAATGAATGCAGTAGCATAGTTGGTTGAGGGGTTATGCTACAAGCCAGAAGGTCGCGGGTTCAAGCCCCGATGAGGTCATTGGATTTTTTTCAATTGACCTAATCCTTCCAGCCGCACTATGGCCCGTGGGTCGACTCAGCCTCTAACAGAAATGAGTACTAGGAGTCAGATGCACAGTATAATTGTTAAACATCTTTGAAAAGAAATTGGAAACATTAACTGTTATGTTACAAATTTCATGTCAAATCTGCAGGTAGGATAGATTTCTGCTGTGCAAATTCACTGTTGGGGTTGGTTGCACTGATTGATGGTGAGGCTGAAGCAAGAGCATGCAGTGAAGGTTACTGGCTCCCTTGCAGCATCTGCCTCACATGATGAATAATAATCCTTGCCACTCTGGGCACATCAGACATCAAAGTTTTCTCCACAGAGTGGTTATAAGCTCTGAATTTTCTTTACTCCATTGTCTGAGAAAAAAAGCATGGTTTCTCTAAAAAGATGTAAACTTCGAAAGAAGCCAACCATCGTCATCTGCCTGATGACTTGGCTTCTTATCACAGAGGCTAGAGTTCAAAGCTCGTGTCATCCATGTTAGATTTATATTGGGTGAAATGACACTGGGGGAGGGTTCTTTGGGTCATTCCATGTCAAGTTGATGCACTGAAGTATCGTTTTCAACCTTACCTTCTCTGATTTAAGTGAAACTTTGTATATCAGAAATGACTATATTCAAAGTATCCGATATATTTCTTAAAGGTACAGGGAAAGTAGCCCCTGTGCTTAATTAAGTGCTATGCCATGACATGGTGGAGTGAAGATATAGCTCCACCATTCTTTACCTCAGCACTAGATGGAGGTAAAATGATTAGCTTCACTCCATGGCGGCTTTACCCTGGTGAAAGAGTCCTCAGTACCCATTGGAATTTAGGCTTGATGGGCCACACAGCCAGTCTGGACACTGTGCAGAAGAGGAAAATATCTTGTTCCTGCTGGGCATTGAACCCTGGCTGTCCAGCCTGTTGCTATACCAACTGAGCTATCCTGCCTCACATATATTTTAAACATTTCTTTGAATTACTGGCAATTTAAATATAAAGAGCTGTAAAATTTAGAACAGATGACAGCAGATTTTGTCATCATTTTGTTTCTGCTTAACATACAGAGCCAAACTTGGGCTTATATTAAAGCTTACAAAATAAGCATTAATATTATGTCATACCGCTTGGCACAAAAAGCCAGTTCTGTACTCACAGCAGAGGAAGGGAACTACTTATGAGTAGATTCAGAACTGCTTGTTACCTCTTTAGAAGCTGTCATTTCAGCTGCATCAAATGATTTGTCTCCTGTTAGCAGCCATACTTAAATGAGTCAGTGTGAGTAGCAGCTGGTGTGTCCCATGGAAAAACATAGCCAATCTGTGTTAGGTGTAGAAGTTAACCAAATATTGGAGCTACGATCATGGAGTGAGTATGCATAGGTAAAGCAGACAGTGGGCACTCAGGAAGTGCTCAAAATAGATCAGTGGCACTTACCATAAATCTTCCCTAAGGCACAGAACTACAAAATACAGTTCAAGATGACCCATTTTGCTTCCAGTGAAATATTTGTTCCAGTTTAGAAAAAGAAACTTGGGAGGCATTAATTCTGAGTATCCCTTCATATGTAATTTGTATTTTAATGTATTATAATGATAATCAGGAAGAGAACCCGTGCACTGCAGAGCCAGCAGCATCTTCCAATCTGAAGGATGGTTCCATACAGATTCCCGTTAAAGACGTAAAAGAAGAACCGGAATCGATAGTAGTGGAACCAAACTTGCATCTTGAAGAAAATGATGGAAACAGGTTTGAAATATTTATTGATTTTTAGTTATGAGAGGTGGCTCACTTTCATTTAAATTGTATAATGGGGTGAAGTTTCACTTTTCTTGTGGTAGTCTGTTTCATCTATGGTACATGGTTCACAGACACTGCAGATACACTTCCACTGATAGAACACACCACCACAGGATATTATCCATGTGATGTAAATAAATATTCTTAGCCAGTCTAGAGGCATTTAGCATAGTGCATCTATGACTCTGCAGTCCTTTTGTTGGCCCTTGGCTGCTTTTTCAGTTTCTTAATCCTGTACACAGTTGGTAGGACTCCTTGGATGTGGGATCAGCCCACAACAAGGCCGCTACCTACACACAGAATAAACACAGACATTCATGCTTTAAACCACGTGGCCACTGTGATCAGCTAATGAGAAAAACTGCCGTGTCCGTCTTGTAGTGCACTCAATTTCACCTGTTATTTCACAACATGTTTTGGCAACACAGTGCCATCATCAGGTGCTCCATTTACGTTAATCTATTGCATTGCTTGCCATTATGTCATTGTAAAATTATTTAAAAAATATTTAAAAATATTTGTCAATTATAATAAATTTTTATATGCTAAAATCTTGTTAAGATATTCATCTTATATATCCCAATTCAAACCCACGCATGGTTCCTCCATATGGGAGTCATTCGTCTTATACTCCGTGTAATGTTGGTTCCCAACATTACAACACCTGCAGCCAAAAAGGGAACACACATCACGAGACATGATATACACGGAGTATAAGAGGAGTGACTCCCATATGGAGGAACCATGCGCGGGTTTGAATTGGGATATATAAGATGAATATCTTAACAAGATTTTAGCGTATAAAAATTTATTATAATTGACGAATATTTTTAAATATTTTTAAAATAATTTTACAATGACATAATGGCAAGCAATGCAATAGATTAACGTAAACGGAGCACCTGATGATGACACTGTGTTGCCAAAACATGTTGTGAAATAACAGGTGAAATTGAGTGCACTACAAGATGGACACGGCATACATATCATGGACGAAAACCAGTGCAACAGGACGCTAAAATACAACATTGAGAAAAACTGCATAAACTAATAAAGTGAGCTAAAGTAAATCCAGCGAAATCTAAAACTTGTTACTTATAAGAAGAATACCATCTTGGGTATAATGCCACGTAATCTGGTACACATTCACTGATGATTCAGAAGAATGAACTGTCTCCAGCTGGAGGGTTGAAGAGTAAGGCAGGCAAGAAGCTTGTACTACTGTCAGTTTCATGGCAAGGCAAGCAGTGCGGTACATACTCTGTGGCCAGATTTAAAGTGTAAATTCTTTAGTGTAATCCTATCCATGTTGCATAGTTCTTCCTCCTCACTTTATGAGTTTCATTCTGTTTTGTTATAATACAGTTGTCTCAATATCCATAAGACACAATTGTCACACTTTGCATTTTCTTCAGAATCCATATTTGTACGAGGTATCTTCACTTGTACTGTCACAATAATCATCATCATCATCATCTCCTCCTACTCCTAATGGGGACAATATCTTCATATTGCTCAGACATAAGGTATCCAGAGAGTGTGCTGGGCAAGCAATTCGTAAATGTTCAGTGTGTTCCTGTTTTTGTAGTCAAAAGCAAAATTGTCCAAGTAGGATTTGAGGTTCTCACAGCAGTGGTTATGAAGACTTCTTTCTGTCTTCTGGGATATAAACAGTATGCAGTCTGTTGAAAGGCAACTGATGTTTCAGAGGAACATGTTGCCTCCATCTTCAGGGTCAAAGAATAAGCCATGCAGTTCTTCGACCTTGAATATGGAGGCGAGTGACACGTTCCTTAGAGAATGTCTGTTGACTTTCAGCATTATATCCCAGAAGATAGGAAATTTTAAAAACTTGTCTACTACAAGTTGTACGCATCTTTTATTGCACCGTCTGCCACTACTTTCGTACACTGTTGTGCAATGAAAATAGGTTTTATTAGTTTCTGGTTACTAAAGATATTAATGATATTGCTAGCGCTGTGTAATTGAATATTTCTGGCATCTGAGCTCAGAAATATTAATACCATTTCTTTCACATTTAGTGCTGAAGTAAATCACCAGGCTGAAGCCTTGCCTGCTAGTGGAAGTGGCCTGACATCAGCACTTCAGCACAGCCAAGGGGTATGTGTGGACAACAAGGATACATATTTCATATGTGGGGAGTGTGGAAAAAGATTTAAAGTATTAAGTAAGTTGACTGAACACTCATTTCTCCATACTGGAGAAAAGCCATATGTGTGTGAAAAATGTAATAGAGGATTTCATTCCATGAAAACATTGAAAAAACATATTCTGATTCATGCTGGAGCCAGAGTCATTAGTTGTGATGTGTGTAATAAAATTTTTAATCATATTAGTGCATTAAAAACACATGCTGTGGTGCATACTGGTGAAAAGCCATATATTTGTAATGTATGTGGTAAAGGATTCACTTTCAATAGTAATCTAAAGAGGCATTCCTTAACACACACTGGAGATAGACCATATGTTTGTAAAATATGTAACAAGAGATTTACTGATATTACTACATACAAGAGACATTCTCAAATCCACACAGGTGAGACACCGTACATGTGCAAAGTGTGCAGTAAGGGGTTCAGGGACAGCAGTACTTTAAAGAGGCATTTTGTGACACACACAGGTGAGAAACCATACACTTGCAAATTGTGCAATAAGGCATTTACAGATTGTAGCAGTTTGAGACGACATTCTTTGATCAGAAATTGTGTGAAAGGAAAGATGCCTTGATCTGTGAGATTATTGTTCACATGTATTTTATGTGAAGTTATATGGTGAGAATTAATTATTAAGTAATTGTTTTATATGCAAAATGTGATCGCCAAATAAATGTATCTTTATATTTCAGTTTTCGAACACCAAATGTATATATAAGCAAGTGGTGATTGTTTAAACATAATATTTAGTTGAAGGAATAAATTCTGTTCAAAATACCTCAGTTATTACCCATGCCTTCTCAGACCCTGTTGTACTGTTCTTTAATGTGATGTGGGCTCAGAAGTAAAAAAAAAAAGTAAAGCTATCCCTTTACCAGGCCGTGAAGGCCCATAGGGTTGTGAGACGTTGAGGGTCCCACATTGTCTAGACAATCGGCTCAAAGATGGAGGTAAGGTTGTCAGCCCCACGTGCCGGCTGTGCTTTATTCCCCAGGAAAATTATTTAATTAATTCCTGATACTCATTTCTGTTAGAGGCTGAGTAAACCCCAGGGCCTAGTGCGACTGGAAGGATTAGCGTCAACTGAAAAAAATCCAATGAGCTCGCTGTACCTGAACCCGCGAGGGCTCAGAAGTAAGCTATGACAAATTTTGAATACATCCACCATAAAGTGAACAGTGCATTTAGTTCCCTTCACAACAGCACAATAAGTGACAGTTTTTCAGTTATCAAATTAGGCATCTTCATTTTTCCATAAAAAAAGCATCGTTGCTATTATGGGCGTTTAATTTTTGCAATTACATATCTTTCTTTGGGAGAAATTTCAATCCTTGCATCTAAGTAAGTGGTCAGACATGTCAAGTTGCGGACTGTCACTTGATTCTTACTTTGATTTCATCCTTGAAGTTGCTGGCACCTATTCAGAGTCCTCACATTTCTTTGGTTTTGTTTCAACTTTTTTGTCGTGTATCACCAGGGAAACCAAATGGGACTGAAATTAAATGGGACACATCAGCTGTTGGTCTACGCTGATGATGTAGATACCATAAAGAAAAACACGCAAACTTTAACTGATGCAAGTAAAGAGGTTGGTCTAGAAGTAAACACAGAGAAAACTAAGTATATGTTACTGTCTCGTCACCAAAATGCAGGGCAAAATCATGACATAAAGATAGGAAACAGATGTTTTCAAAATGTGGCACAATTCAGATATTTGGGAACAACGATAACAGATCGAAACCTGATTCAGGAGGAAATTAAGAGGCGATTGAACTCGGGTAATGCTTGCTACCATTCAGTCCAGAACCTTTTGTCTTCTCGTCTGTTGTCCAAAAACATAAAAATTAGAATATACAAAACTATAATTTTGCCTGTGGTTCTGTATGGGTGTGAAACTTGGTCTCTAACATTAAGGGAGGAACACAGACTGAGGGTGTTTGAGAACAGGGNGTGGGTGGACAATATTAGAACGGATCTTAGAGACAGAGGATGGGATGGTATGGATTGGATAGATCTGGCTCAGGATAGGGACCAGTGGAGGGCTCTTGTGAACATGGTGATGAGCCTTCGGGTTCCATAAAATGCTGGGAAATTCTTGAGTAGCTGCAGAATTGGCGGCTCCTCCAGAAGGGCTCAGCTCCACGAGTAAGTAAGCAAGCAAGCACCAGAAATATTAGTAGAGGAGGGTAGGGGGTTTTCTGGATCCACAGTCATGTTTCATTGCAAGCATAAATTCTTGTCCCTGGTAGGACATTAAGATAGTCCATCTTTTCTACTTAGTTTGTGTAGCTTTATCTCTCTTCTTGGCAAGCTGCTGTAGAAATCCTTCATTCATTGCATGCATCATTTCCTTATTTTAACCCTTTTTGGTCAAACGATATACAATATCCATGGTGACTGTGCTTCCATGGAGAAATGTTGATATACTATCGACAAAGTTTGTTTCATGTTTCTGCGTCATATTTCAATCATACATCACCAGTTGGCTCTGTAGGCTATACCAAGGCATGTATGAATGTTTTGTCTGCCTCCTACTGCCATCTGGAAGTCATAATTTGAAAATTCTTGAAGAATGAATGTCATTTATATATTATGGCATGTCACATGTTAGTAGCAAGCTTTTGTGTTCAGCTAAACTATGGCCCTTTGGATTGAAACTAGATATAATCCCTCGTGTGCTGTAGGTGAAGAATCGAGCAAGAAGATGTCAGAAAGTGAGAGAGCGAAACAAGTGTTGCTGCATGTTGGTGGGTAGGAAGGCATGACAATGGGCAATGATGCATGTGGGGATTTGATTGCACCGAATAAAGTAGTTGGGCCATCAAAAAGACAAGAAAGTTCATGGGGTGATAAAGCATATAGAGAAACAATTTCAGAAGGATGTTGTGCCAGATAAAAACTTTGTAATAGATGAATCAGCAGTTGGGTTCAAGAGCAAAATAATTTTCAAAACATAATAAAAAAACAATGAAAGGGGGATCAGATTATTTGCATCAGCTGAAAGTGACACTGGTTATGTTCACATTATAATTCCAAACTATCAAAAACTTACAGGCGACATGCAACTTACCATACTCTGAAAAACCGTTCATTTTAAGAATAGTTGTTTCCCTGATGGACAGATTATGACTCAGCGTGTTTGGTATTGAAGACTACCGCCATTTCACTGCCAGATATTAAAGCAGTGCTGAGTTTGCCTAAGAATAGAAAACACAAGTATATATTTGGTTTTCTAACTTTATGCTCTTATTGCGCCAACTTTTTGGGCAGAACAGTTCACTTAGTAGCTTGGCAGGCATTTAATACCCCTGATGATCTGGCTGCGGAAATTTTTCTAAACACGATGACCGGAAAGGGTTAACTCTTCGTAACTTCTGAAGGCAACCACTTCATTCCTGTTTGTAGCGCTATACACCTATCTTCCTGATCCTCATTATTAGATTCTTTCAGCTTCTACCCATGGACCATTCATTAGTTCTTCAAGCAAACCTATACACTCACCTGCAGTGTTCTGGAGCACCTTCAGGATGCAGTCTCCTTTCACTCGTAAGCAAAGCTGTGAACTTGAGTTCAAAGACACATAACCACACATTGATATGTGGACTGAGATTGTATATGAGAATTTTCTTGGTCTCTTTCTTTCTTAACAAGGATAGTAATGAGGTAATGCTCAACCAATTCGCCATCATACCAGCCTGATTTTGGTTGTTTGAGTGGTGTCCTTTTGGGTGATTCTCTGTTCATGTACATCTGCCCTGCTGTATAGCTGTACAAGTACTAGCAGCTATCTTTATGCATTTCTGCAAACCACAAGGGACATGCAAGCATTTGGATCCTTATAGCCTATTTTGCCTCTTGTCTTTTATGATGCCTTCTTTATCCTGCCTAGGCTTTCTACAAGGTTTGCTACATTGTGGTTTGGAATACCCATCTGTTTCTCTATCCAGATTGTTAAAGAAATTGTGTAAGACTTCCTTGCTGGCTGCAGCACATACATGAGAATGTTTCTCGTGGTTCTCTGTGCCAGAACATTTCATAAACAAACATACTGAGCTTGGGCCTCGCAAGTTGTTGCAAACACTGGTAATGGTTCCTTTATTCTACCCACATAACACTTGATACACATCAGACCAACGAAATCACAGAAGAGCCACAGGCAGATGTTGTAATCATAGGACCTGCAGTTGTTTTCTCTTCAATTGTGAACACAGGCTGTCCACCTGTTATCCTCTGTATTTCCCATGCTATTTAAACTACACCTGCTACTGTGTGTGTCATACCTTCTAGATGCCTCACAGAGATACATTCATTTTTACTTCTTTTTTCCAGCTGTGAGTAGGGTGAGTGAGAGTTCATGTTACATAGCCTCTGTTATCAGTCTTCTGCTATCCCAAATCTATGTCTCTCCTAAAATTCACAGGAAAGCATAACTCTAGAGCGGATATGTTTCAAAACACCCACTTGTCTGTCAGCACCTGACAAAACTTCTCACACCATTGATTAGGAATGTGCTGTACCATATGAGGAGCACCACTGAGTTCAGTCAGTGACAGCTGGCCCAGGGAACACCATGGTCAGCTTCAGTGCAGTATGACTTCACTCAGAACTGCTGGAGTAACAGTTCAGCACCTAGCACTAAATGAACATTCTTTCTGTTCAGTAGCTGGGTCTATAAGCAGGAGGATTGAGTAGCCATGGTAACATGTCACTCTCCTATCATATTACTTGAAGCCAGAAATTTTGGTATGTGGATGGCTGACACAAGCTGAGCAACTTCCTCTGCATCCCAAATGGAACCCATTCAGATATTCAGACTTACGGTATGGCAGGAAGAACACCTGCTGTTCTCTGGACACAGACCAACTACAGGAGACATAATGGGCTCTTGAGTCACAGTCTCTACAGGAAGCTAATACACCAACTGGTGCCACCTCACACTACCATACATCTTACAACTTTCAGCAAAAGTGTGGGTGTTCTCCTACAGAAAATCCATGAAGCACTTGGCCCTGGGAGACGGAAAGCACGTAGAAACTGATCCACACAACCTTAGAATGTATCCAGCCATCCTGGCAGACTGTTGCTGATGTACAATATACAAATGAATCCTGTACCACAGTCCAAGATGTGCAGCATTCTCAGGTCAGTGAAGGACAGCCTAGGTCTATAAGTTCCAGGGTCTGTAAGATCCTGAGAAGAGGCTAAATTCATGCTCTGTCCGCCTTTACCCTTCAGAAAATTACATGAAGATAGTGCCACTTTTATTTCTCTTGTTCTGTTGCTGTAGTTTACTGTGCTCCCTTGGTGACGTAGAGCTCATCCAAGAACACATATATATATAGAAAATGGGAGCATGATAAAATGTAACTTGCAGTGTGACTGGAAGACTTCATTCATGTGTAATACTTGGAATGTGTGTGTCAGTGAGACTGTTATAGTTCCTGTGTATTAAATGTGTTACCAGGAGAGGACTAGTGTGTAAATCAGCAACAGCGCTGTATTTAAATGTGATTAAGAGCACTTGTAACCGGGTGCTAATAAATCCAATCATCCAAACTAGAACCCGTCATTTTCATCATGCGTACCACACTAAATGTAACAGTTTTAACAGAAATATGAGGAAAATGAGTCAATCACAAAGGTACTTGACATATAACATTTACTGAATTATGGTTTTATTACAAACGGTAAATCATTAAATTAACGGCAGATACAAACTTAGCAAAACTATAAGTTAAAATATGATCAGAAGTCTGTCTGAAGACATATCAATGAATCCATAAAATAATTTTGTCCCCATTAAGTATTTTACACCTTTATGCTTTCAGATCCTTCGTTATATTCACTTTTATATCGGTGCAAATGACACCAAACTTCATGGCGTCAGCAGTATTAAGGGCAGTCTGCAGGTGTTCAAGAAGACTGGACTTCATCTCACACTTGGAAAATCACATTCTCATCTAATGCTGGCCTGAGCCGGCTGCTTTTAAAATCCAAACAAAATAAGCTGAATAACCTGGCATGTTACATGCGTGCGATGAGTGTTATATATGGGTCTCAAAGCAATAAAATGACCAGACTAAAGCATCACAGTCATCTTTAAAATCATTCTAAATATAGACACTCACAAGCAGTAGAGACTTAATCATCACTCAGTCTCACCATCTTCTCATTCCCCAGCGAACTAGTCCTCCCTAGTTTCGACACAGTCTCCTGCAAATCTCTGATAATTATATAAGGGTCCACATGCACATTCTGCATCTGAAACATTGAAGCAGATTATGTTCTTCAAACACTTGTATGATTTCAGAACCCTAAAATTGTTTGATTGGAATAGTGTTCCTTCATAGGACATTTAATAAAGATGAATTAACTGCAGCAGTCATTTGTTACTGAGATATGTGGAATTATTATGCACATTAAAACAGAGAGGGAAAGTGGTCATAGTCTCTTTCACAGTTCTGTTTCTAAATATGCCTCTCAGAACTGAAGGGGCCAAAATTTATGTCAGCAACATAGTTGAACTATGAATCTGTCACGAAACACAATTTTTGTTAACCGTTTTTCAAAAGCATCATCAAAATAAAATCACAGACGGTCCAATAACAGTCAACAAAGTAATTCAAACTATATTTTTCCTCATCTGGCATGAAAGTACAAGAGTATAGATGGGAGTTACAAAAATGTTTCAGAAGTACAGTTCTCAGAGTTAAGATACAAGAGCTTCAATGCCTAAATACCATGTAATGCACTTGGCATGACACGGATATGGTGGCAAGGAGACGAGAACAGGATCCGCATAGCAGCACCTTCAACCTCTCTGTAGAACCTTTCCTACTATTGCACAGTGAAGACTATGTTAGTATGATGAACAGGGATTCCTTACCAAAGCTGATTATGATATCACTGGTGACAGTGTACTGCATAAACTAATGTCAGTTTTCAACATGGTACATTGAGATCAGGAATGCAAGAATACTCCTCCTCCTGTTGGGTGAGCTGGGTGTCCTGACTACAGGTCATAAGGGCATGTTTGTTGGTCTTGTGAATCTCAGGAAGGCCATAGAAACATGGGGCTCATTTGTTATCAAGAGTCTGTAGATTTCGGCTGAGATAGATCACCGGTTAGGTTTCTCAGTCGGATGTTCCACGTGTCGACAGGAATGTGGATGATGACTTTGTATGTGAGCTCCACAAAGAGGGTGATTAATATTATATAATAAAAAGCTCATTTTCTATAATGTTACACTTCATTAAGTGTCCTTTCTTATGTCATGATATAGCTTTCTGAAGGTATTCCCTATACTAGATTTTGTCAAGGAAAAACTGATTCAGAAAAATCTTCTCTGCATACTAAATAATTCTACATTTATTCCATCCTGCACTGGGATTTTTTATTTTTTAATGTCTGCACATATCTGTGAATTTTCCAAAGTAAATGAAGTCGTAATGTTACAGTTTTCATTGTAAAATTTTGTGTGACTTGGAAAAAGAGACATATCAGAAATGACTGCAGTCAGATTTATCTCCCATTTTACACAGAAGGTCAATAATTTCTTCTTTCCATTGTTAGTTTTTCCTTATTCAGATAGGGAATATATCTCTGAAGTGCAGTGTCCAGGCACAGGCTTCGGTTCATTCAGCTGGAATTAAAATGATTCCAGGAAATATGCAATGGTTCAATTGATATGGGTCTCCCAACCAGATTTCAAAGACTGCTCAAGTCTTCAAATTAGGTATGAGGTATATGTGCATTACTGTTATGATTGTGTGTGCCATTATGTAAGATGAAACTGTATTCTCATGAGAGCAATAACAAAGGGCACTCACTCTTGCACAAAGTGTAAGAAGATTAGGCAGTGCAGTGGTGGTTCACATTGCCTCATGCTCCATATTCAACAAATTTAAATTTGTTCTATGGGTAATATGTTCATACAATATAAATAATTGACAAGTGGGATATATAAATTTATTTCAATAATTGCTTCTTACTGATATTAATCAAAAAGCCAACCATGTTCCAGAAGATCCATATATAAGCAGTAGTTAGTATGAGCACTGTACTTAACATGGGCACCCACTCATAAACTGCTTCATTGGTCTGTTCAGTGAGAGTGCGCAGAGGAAAATTTGTTTATGCTTCTGTACTCAAGCCAATGGCATGGCTATAATTCATATCAATAATAAATACTTATTGACATAACTTACTTGTAAAGCATTTATAGTGTATGAACATATTAACTTTAAATATGTGATTTGAGATAGTTTTTAAACATTTACTGACACCAAATAAAGAAGAAATCAGAAATATGTGGGATTGCACCTGGCATAAGTCTGCTGTGTTATCCTCTCAGTTTCGGCCATGTTCATGCCTGGCTCCGTGGTCTAGTAGTCAGAGTTCCTGGCTACAGATCCAGATGTCTGGGTTCAATTCCCGGTGCTACCAGATTTTCTGAGAAGTAGTGGGTCTGGAATGGAGTCCACTCAGCCTCATGAGGATAACTGAGGAGCTATTTCAAGGAAATAGCAGCTCCAGTCTAGAAACCCGAAATTAACGGCCATGGGGATTTGTTGCGCTGACCATGCGACACCCTCTATCTGCACTAACTTCGCTGACAAGTGGCGGTTGCTCAATCGTTATAGTTCACTTGTGGACTAACGCCACAGAGTTTGTTTTGTTTTGTTCTGCCAAGTCCCCAGCTAGTGTCTTAAAGACCCCACCTTGTGAGTATGAGACTCAGGAACCTATGAAAATGCAAAAGCCCCAAATAAGGATGTTACATACCACATAGAGCTCAAGAGAGCTGACATCATTTATGGGAGAGTTGCACTGCCCTCGTGTCCCTATACGAATAGTGGCTGGGAGCGAGTCACTGCTGCTTCTTGAGCACATGACAGGAAATGCTAATCCTGTGCTAAAGCACATGCGTTCCAGCTTGTGGTAGTATGTCTGTATCACGTAATAGAAAAGGCGAAACAGATCTGTCCCTGGGTGATTGCTGAAGATAATAATCTCATGTTCTCTCACTGGCGTCTGCAAACAAGAAGACTTAGTGCTAAAATACCTCCTTAGCCCTCACAAAATTGTGACCTTTATTTCACCATTTTCTTTTTGTGAAACTCGAAGAAGCATTTAATAAACAGAAACTGAAATATGTAACAAGGTTATTGAATATATCTATTATGAAATGTGCAGTCTTATTACAGCGAACACCTTCAGCTACACACACAAAGCAGGAAGGGTCGTTTACTTCATTCACTACACAATTATTTATGAGTATTTTGACAGGAAAAATTTGATTAATTAAAATGGTAATTTGACAAATACACTTTGTTTCTACTGATATTGGAAAGGCATATGACAATATAAACAGCGGTGAAATTTGGGAACTGTTACAGACAAACACCAAACATTTCCAAAGGACTGACAGAGAGAGAGAAAAAAGAAAGTAACAAATGTGAAAACATTGTGGTTACAGATGGCAAGATATCTGAATGGTTTAAAACGTTTACAGGTTTCAGAGAGGGTACTGGTTTATCCTCAGTGTTGTTCAACAAGGTAAATTTAGTTCGATTCTTTATCTTTATATGCTTAATCCTTCCAGCCGCACTATGGCCCTGGAGTTGAATCAGCCTCTAGCAGAAATGAGCACCAGGAATCTTGCGGGGGGGGGCCAATGCATAAAGTTAACAACATCACTGCCATCTGTGAGCCGACTGTCTAGATAATGTGGGAGCTTCGAAGTCTCGCAACCCTATGGGCCTCCACGGCCTGTTACAGGGATAGCTTTACCTTCGAGGGAAGAAGGAAATACGATGAAAACAGCTATACATGACAGTAAGAGTACCCATCACCACAGGAGCCAGGATAACGCAGTCAGTATAGCAAGTGGCTACATATGAGCTCGATAACCAAGGCTTTGGAGTTCAACTTCTGGTAGGGTCAAGAATTTTCTCTTCTCTACATTATTCATACTGACTCTGGTGCTCACCCAGCCTCCTGCCCAATGAGTACTGGGGCTCTTTCCCCGGGGGTAAAGCGGCCGGGATGTGAAGCTGATCACTTACCTCCAACTAGTGTCAAGGTCAAGAAAATGTGGATCTATATACACTCCCCTGTACATCACAGTGCTTAATTAGTCAAGCACAGGGACAATATTTACCCATCACCATAGGGCATCTGGGCGCACAGACAAGGGCATATCTGGAAAAACTGAACTTGTGGAAGGAAGCAGGGAAGTTTCATCAGCAATTTTAGAGACACCTGAAGATGACCAAAGCTGGTAAAAACATATAGTGTGATGCAGAAGAGATTTTTAACGTTTAAAACTTTTACAGGTTTTAAAATGGAAGTTGCATGTGAGACAGCTAATAGTAACAGGAGTAAATGGGTGATGTGCAGCAGCAGGGCTCCAACACAACATTATTACAAAGCAAGTTAACAAAAATAGTGCAACTCGTATCAGAAGAAAATCAGTGACAGAAGATGAGGCTAGGCAACACCTGATGCAGTTTTTATATTAAAATAAAATAGAAGGAATAGAAAAGAACCAAAGCATTCCAAGTTATTTGTTGATTGTGAAAAGGCTCACTACTGGCTGAACTGGGTGAAACTGTCTGCCATACCGGGGGCAAGAAAGATCTCACAAATATCATAAAGACAAGTGTATTAAGTTAGAACAACAAATTTTGCAACATAAGAATTCAGTGACCCGTCCTGTTTAACATGGATCAAACGGTGAAATAATAGAAAGAGGAAAACCAAAAGAGAATAATGATTGGACAAAATAAAGAAATAACTGTTATTTAGCAAGCACATGCTCAAACGTTAATAGCAGACACAGAGGACAATCTGAGTGATCCTTCAAGATTCAGTCTGAGCTGAAAAAATGTACAAGTATAATATAAAACAACCAAGACCAAACCATGATCTCCCAAGTAACAGAAACAGATTAAAATAGCAACTGAGAGAGGAATAACTGAGTAAGTTACAATCTAGGGGCTTTAATCACCTCTAAAAGACAAGAGACTAAACTACCTTTGATAAATAGTAATAGAACAAGCGGTATATTAAAACAAAACTGTTCAAAGCAAGGATGGACAAACTGCTGTTATATAATACTGTAGTCAGCAAATCAACACAACTGTTTGGCAATGAATGCCAGACCATGGAGATCTTTTACGGCCTACTCAACACTGCAGCACTGACACAGGGAACGAAAGTCCAAAGTGTAACCGGTACAAGGGAGTGTCAGGATCACACTTGTCACACAACACAGTGGCTACTCTCTGCGAAAGGCATACCAGGAACTGAGAAGAAATTTATGACATACAGACGATGTGCCACGCCAAAGGGACATGTACGGGTTAGGAAAGTTAGAAAAATGTTCCTTCTTACACCAATATTATGTAAACAAGTTACATTCATGCAACTATAATGAACATGATCTACATAAAGGTGACATTGGAATCTGTTTGCAAGAATGTAAATAACACTGTTTGGTGTTGATGGGTTCATTTTTATACAATTCACTGATTAAATTAACTGTTAACTGCGCAATGCTGAAGAGTGACTGCTCACTACTTTGTACAAAATCATCAGCTTTTATCTTCATTACTATACATGAAGGGGGAATGTAAGTCAAACGTATTCTAAATAACAGGCATGTATACAGACTTTAAAATTAAAAATAGTTATAAAATAACTTACCAGTGGAGATATTGCAACTGCATCACCCAATGTGACTGAAAGCCCAAGAGCATAATGTATCTCTATTAAGTCATTCCAATATCCACCAGCATTTTCATCCTTATAAGTGATGGCAGCCTTTTGTTGTACTGCCATGTGACTGAGATACTGGGATGCCAAGAACCCGTGTGCATGCGGATGAAACTGGCTTGCTCCCCCCTTTGGCAGTGTGTCATAGATCATCATGGGATAACTGCAATATAGACAGACATACTTAAAGTAGAAATGATAACGTGAGACTTAAAAAAAACAAGAATGAAAAGTAAATTTTGGCTGTGTGAGTTCTGAGTTGACAGTGACCATGAAGATTATTATTTTCTTGGATGTGATGCCGTGTAGTCTGGTAGATGTTTATGGATGCTTCGGAGGAAAGCAAAGCATCCACTTCAGGGTTCAGGAGAAGCCAAACAAGCACGGTGATTTTAACTGACTGAATCATGGGCTTATAACTTGTTCAGCCCAACTGCTTATTTTCAACTGTCAACACACATTCACATCAAACCAACCCAAAGGTTCAAGACATTTTTCTAGTATCATTAGTACCTATGGTTTAAATTAGAGGCACGCGGTAGCGTAGTTGGTTGAGGCACTATGTTACAAGCCAGAAGGTTATGGGATCAAATCCCAATGAGGTCACTGGGTTTTTCAATGGACCTAATTCTTCCAGCTGCATTATGGCCCTGCGGTTGGCTCAGCCTTTAACATAAACGAGTACCAGCTGGCTTGTAAGGCTGAAAACCTTACTGCCATCTATAAGCCAAATGTCTAGATGTGGGAACCTCGACCTCTCACACCCCTACGAGTCCTCACAGCCTGTTACAAGGACAGCTTTACCAGCTTTACCAGCTTTACCTATGGTTTAAATTAAATATCTCATAATGAACAGGACACATGGTAGTGAGGCTACAAGCCAGAAGGTTGTGGATTTGATTCCTGATGAGGGCACTGAATTTTTCAATTGACCTAATCCTTCCAGCCACACTATGGCCCTTGGATCGACTCAGCCTCTAATAGAAATGAGTACCAGGAATCTTCCTAGGGGTAAAGGATAGTAAGGCTGAAAACCTCACCGCCATCCGTGAACTGATAGTCTACAAAATGTGGAAGCATTGACGTCTCACAACCCTATGGGCCTCCACAGCCTATTACAGGGATAGCTTTACCTTATTTAATCTCATAATGAATGATAAAGAATGTAATTTACTCCTAAAAGTAGCAGAATTATTGCTGAACAAAGTCATAAGTAAATTATAAAAGGTCCATGGTCTATGGTCTCTAACTGTATTGATATCCTTCTGAAGAGAGTCTATAGGACCGAAACATGTTAAGGACAAAAGATGTTCTCTTGTATTATAACTGTGTGAAATTAATATATAAAATCATATTTTATATGAAGACAGGTTTCTTAGTGGGTTGTTCTCCTTTGAATAAATAATGTATTTGTGCACCACTGCTGATTGCTCCAAAAGACCCTGAAGTGTGCATGTTGTCGACTCTGAGCAGAAGCAAAGTTTGGCATTACGCATCTTCTGCATACTCAACAGTAATTTCACCTTCACTTAAGTGTAAGTTGCATTTAACTGCATCAATACTGCACATATTGTCTGCCATGAGAGCTCAGCACAACGTGGTTTGGGGCAGTAACATCTGGCCTGAACCTTGCACACTGTTCCAGGACATGTAGCTGTGAAGCCTCACAAGACCTGAGTCCAGTGCCTTCAGTTGCAGCACTCAGCAGATGTGTGTAATGCAGAAACTGGCCTGAAGCAGTCACTGCAGTCTGCTCACGAGTCAGCAAAGTCAATTTCCAGTTCAGTTCAGTGGCAGGAGAAACGAGGAAAGAAGGGGTGACTGCAGAGCATGATCAATAGCAATGTGGTTCAAGAGGGTGTGACAATAACTGGCCCAAATATTAATAAACATTACATTACAGACCTCCCTTAAAAATCAGGACATCAGTACAAAAACAATGAAACTGTCTTTAAGTAGCAAATGATGATGCAATTAAGTCCTGTTTATGTTCCTTTCGGCTTATGCAAGCCTGCACTTCACTGCCTCTGCCGTTCTCATCCCCCCACCCACATGCCTACAACCCCAGTACATGGCACTACTGTTGAGTTTTCCACAAACAGATTTCTACCCTTGCTACCTGCTTCTTGTTGGTTTCTTGGCTTACTCTCCAACCCTCAAGCTGGATGTGCATGTTCCTCCAAAGCACTGGCTCACTTTCAACGGGTTACACAGTGATATCCCACAAGATAGAATGCTTCACAGCCACTGCTGTGAGACTCTCAAATCCTATAGGCTTGATTTAGTTTGTAACTGTAGATCACAGATATTCATGTGATGTGGCTACGCTTCTGGTACTTGTTAACAGCTAATGTTTCCATGCATCACCTAAAATGCAGGCAAGTAAGGATAAGTCATAAGAAAAGTACTGCTTAGAGCTGCTAATGATGGAGACTTCTGATCTACTGTTAACCTGTCAATCTCTGCAGCTAATTCTTTCACTAAAATACAATGGATTCAGCTTTCTTGTACTTGAGATTTTGATGCCCGTACCTAATGTATAACTTTAGTGTTTTGGCACCATCTTCTGCGTGACTGCAGCGGAAGAACATTGAAGGGCCTCCCGTGCCTCCTTTGTGACCAGGAAAGTTACACTTCCGTAAAGCATAACTGAGAACTGTGCAGTAGTTCAAATGAACAAATGTGCACTAGAATCAGGGGAGGAGCACAATCAGCATTTTCACACCCAGCAAAAGTGGTGAGGCTAGCCCTAGGTCTGGTATAGTAACTTACCATGACTCCTCATCAACTGAGTTTGCCTTTTTGAACCATTTCAGTGATGTGTTGAAAAGATCCAAGAATTCTTCTTCTGTGAGGTCTACTGGACTGTGTTTCTTGCTCAGGAACAGGCTGTGCCACTTCTCAAGCTTGAACGTGTTGGACGCGCTGACAGAATACTGTCCTTCAATTCTACACAGAAAATATTTACTTATGCTCCTACACCAAGCAACAGGTCTTATGAACAAAAAAAAAAGGCATCCTACAATTTCTGGTTGTGGGGAACAGTATGCATATTTTGCAAATTTACAATGGCTAGACTGTTTCACATGATTCTGTTTTGCTGATGTCATGAAAGTAATTCAAATTCACACACACCTTCAATTTTTCACTTATAAAATAAACAGAATAAAGCTATCTAACAGTGTGGAGAAATTGCAGGAATCTTACTCCAAAATAGTTTGCAGAATTCTTAAAAATTTGTAATTGTAGTCACTCTGATAAATTGGATGTTGCCTTTAATTTGATGCTCCCTGAATTATACAAATGAAAAATAAGTTCCTCTAGGAAGCACAACCAGATGGCTAGGAGTCCAACCACAACAAATTCAAGTGTTAAGCATAATGGTTATACTACGTTGATCTTTTAACTTTCTGAAAGCTTGCTGTACTACACGAACAAAATGCTGAAAACTATTATTGGTCTATGCCAATGACAACAAATCCACTGTCGTGCATCCCGCATGTGGCATGCTGAAATTACTGCTTGGCATATAAAATGTGCTTCATTACTGTATAATAAGCAACTGAATCTTACACATTAATAAGTCAATCAGTTTATTATAGCAAACACATAAAATGTTGTTCCAAAGAGATATTTTTATAAAATGTGTATGTAGTACATGAATTACTAACAAAATGTTATGTACATGTCGAGTCTATAGGTGAGAATGAAATATACATCTGCATATGCAGAAAATTTTCATCTTATGTTCTGACAGTTGGTTACAAAAATTTGTCTGTTGTACAGAAAATTAATTATACAGGCTGGAATTATAAACAAAAATTAACCATAAGCAGTATCTGAAGTAAACATTTTCTACTGCACAGGATTCTTTTAAAGCAAAGATTGCATAAATATATTAACAAACCTTCCAAATATATCATCAGCAGTATTTGTTTTATATCGACAGAAATCACAAGTTCTTCTAGTCAGGGCATCCAGCTTATCAACATACTCTTGTGTACCCTCACTTGTTTCAGAGGATGGACGTTTAGAACGCAGGAGATTAAAGACCGTTTGTTCAAGGCTGTAGTAATTATTCACGTGTATCACTTTCTGAAACATTAAAAAATGAAGAATTAAGAGATTTTATTTAAATAAAAGCACTGTTCTGGTACATTCACATTAGTAGGTACAGCACACGAATATAGGTAAAAATTAGTAGTAACAGAAATTACTAAACTACTGTGGGCAACTTTAATAAATAAACTCGCCATTCCAGTATACAGGAATGTTAGTTTCATTGACGCAAAAGTAGATATAACCAAATGTAAATATGTAACCAATTACAATATTTTGCGTGATGTAATCACAGTTCATAGAAAACATGTTCTATATTAAACTTCCATACTATAGCTTTATGAATATAGAGCAACTCCCAACACATCACTCAAATAACTAACTGTCAAAGATACTGTTAAACCTACATATCATATTGCGAAGAGTACATAAACACAGGATACAGAAAACTATAATCATAAGATGAATACAAATAGTTACAAGAGACAGGTGAAAGAAAAGTTCACTTTAAATCAAACTCTGAATTGTCTTAGAACAACATTACATTAGAGATAAAAAAACTGTTCCTTTTTTTCAGTATGAATTGTTAATGCCGTCATTACACTGCCTTCACAATACTGCATCGCTCAATAATAATATGCTGATGAAACTTTCAAGAACCGTAGCCACATTGTCTTGCAGCGGCAACCAACCACTTCATCCACATCTCAACACAGTAAGGTGAGGCAGCTAAGAATGTTTAATATTTCTTATGTACACTCCAGCAAACAGGGACAGACAACTCCCTGCTGCTGTGTGAACATGTGAAGAGGACAATGGCAACAACATGGTATTATGATGAAATAACTGACCAAATAATCAATTTAGGGGGACCTACAGTGAAAGTGACAAAGGAGAAGCATGCAGATTTTGAAGGTTGTGATTGTGATGGAAGATTTGGTACAATAATACGTTGAGTGCTCATGATCAGTCAGTACGCAATCATTCTAATGGTAACATGCTCACCACTGGACCCAATGTTCATGGGTTTAAACTGAGTCGAGGTTTATATGGTGACGAAAATCCATAGCACAACGTCTTTCAGAGGAGAAAACCAAGGGTTCCATGTCATATATTTATGGCATGCAGAAAGAACCTTTCACTCATGATCAGAGATAAGTGAAGGAAAAATCAGATGCCATTTTTGGGTGCTCACAAAGCTCCCTATTCTGCTCCTAGATGTCACTGCAGCTGTACAACCGCAAAGACATCTGGCGGATAAGTGAGGGAAGAACTTGAAATCACCCAACACAACTGAAGCATGACCCCTAACCAGATAATGTAACTCATCCATGAGGTGTCCAAATAGAAAATAAGTTACAAATACACCAACCAGCTGAGATTAAAAGAACGACTGACTTAACTGTCAAAGTGCAACATTTAAAACCAACCAACCAATGAGTTCTAAGATCACAAAATTTCAGCGGACTCTGCTGCCCCAATCCACTGCAGTCTGGGTCTTGCTTGTTCAATCTTGTTTCCTTGAGAGCCCTGAAAGGGGCCACCTGCTGCATGAAGTTTGAGAACAATAAAGAGGTAATTCATGCAGTGTCTCTATGAGGTACAAGCCATTACCTCCTTGTGTTGCATATGACCACTGAGTCTGATGAACTTTATGGACAAAAACTGAACACATAACCAGGAAATATACTGAGTCACACTTTGTGTAAATTTTACAATTTCAGAATAAACTTTGGCTTGGAAGGGACAGCTCTGCAAACATGCCTGTTGCTGAACAATGGCTGCGACGGACACATGTGCAACAATAGAAGAGCTGTTGGAAGCGGTGTTTCCTGTGCAGCCCGTGCCAAGGGTATAGCTACCATTACAAGTCAGTCTGAGTCTAAAGAAAGTCTGAAGGCAGGCAGAGAGTTGAGAGTTGCAAGCTGGCTGAGGCATGGGATCAGACAGAGAACCCAGATGAAGGGGAGCGACCACCACTGAAAGCCACTACCAAGCAGCACAGAGGAGACTGACTGAAAACACTAGTCTGTGTGCAATAGTAATTTGTAAGTGAAGGCATGAGTTGTTTTAAGGATCAATAAATCCAATTACCAATCCAAACCCTGTCTATAGTCATTCTGTCATGTGACAGTATGATTCTTAAAAGTATATCAGTACAATTATGCATAAACTATGTGATTACCTGATTATGCACTTGCTTCAGGAGTTTGTCATTATCCCCCAGCCAATGACGCACCTCCCTCAGAAATGGTGGCGGGAAACTTTGTTTTGCTTCCCTCACATTCACTCGGTATATTGTGTGGAACTTCTTCCACAGTATTTGGCATTTTCTATGGTAAGCTTTTGACCACTTCAGAAGATTTTCATGTAACCTGTTTAATGTAAGCTCAAGGTCTCCTTGAAAACAATTCTCCTGATAAAATTCCTAAAAAGTTAAAAGAAATTAATTACATTTGTAACTGGCTTACAATTTACTGAATTCCTGGAAATGGGTTTAAAGCTTAGAAATTGCAAGTCAAGTTCATTATAGCATGGGATGGATGTAGGGAGTTACATTCATGCAGTTCAAGGCTCAGATAAATTCTTCAGTACTTCAACACCCAGTACACCACAATTCTATATGCTTTTATTATATAAATTCAATACTGGCACATCAAATAACACAGCAATAAAAATTACACTACTATAAATATTAAAAGTAAATAAATTAATTAAAAATACTTCACCATGAATCATTACAGAATTACAAATCAGGGCATTATGACACGACAAGGTAAAAAGGTAAAGTTGTCCCTGTGCTTAACTAATTAAGCACTATGCCAAGAAGGCATATGGGGGAGTGGATGTATAGATCCGCATTTTCTTGACCTCAGAACTAGTTGGAGGTGAGTGGTCAGCTTCACGCCACAGCCGCTTTACCCCCCGGGGAAAGAGCCCCTCCTGGTATCCATTGCACAGGAGGCTGGGTGGGCCCCAGAGCTGGCCTAAACGACATGGAGAAGAGAAAATTCTTGACCCCACCGGGACTCGAATTCCAACCCCTCTGTCGTCCAGCCCATAGCCAGTTGCTATACTGACTGAGCTATCCTGGCCAGATTATGACGTGGTATAAGTCTAAAATTCAAGTTTTGAGTCATAAGTCTGACAGTTTGTAGTTTGACTCTAATGGGTGTTAATTTCATGGGATTGTAAGTCCAGAAAGTCATAGGTTGGGAAGTTAAAGGTTAATGTACAGCCATCTTCAGGAAAGAAGAGCGAGGAACCAGTGTGAGCAGGTGGCTGCAGACAACTGCAGAGTCTACAAAAAGCGCGTTTTTTTTAGCCTAGTATGGATGGAGTGGATGACAGACAGTACAGTTCCAAGCATGCTGTTACAGCCATAGTGCGCAAGAACTATCATCAGTACAGAGAACAAACAGCATAGATTAGCTGCATGTTGTTGCTAATTTCAAATAATTTGATCATTATGTTTGTATTTTTTCGCATAGTGGGGGGTGCAGTCCAGCTGGGTCCACTAGGCATGTCAGCCACTAATTGGCCTACTGTATCTGTCCCGGGTGATTATAATGATGGAGAATTTGGTGGAATGAAGATTGGCAGGGGAAAACGAAGTACTCAGAGAAAACCTGCCCCAGCACCACTTTGTCCACCACATATCCCACTTGACCAGAACCAGGCTTGAACCCGGGACGCCGCGGTGGGAAGCCAGTGACTAACCGCTTGAGCTATGGCGCGGCCTATTTAAGTTTAAAACACGTTTCACTTCCTGCTTCTACTTCTGTGATGAAATTTTTACTGCCTTCACACTTAAAAATATATTTTTCATCAATGCAGTGATAGTCCACTCTGTTTAAATTTGCATCTTAGAACACAATCCTTTGTGTCAAGTTGAACTTGAACTTCTTAAATGTAGCTCCCATGTTGACTTAAAAAAAATAATAATACAAAAGGTGTAACTGCCAAACTATTGCAGATACATGTATGAACTCTGAATCAATAAACTGCCCAAAGAAAACTACTGCTGGACACTGAATTTCATATTTCTGACTTCTTAAATTACAGAGATATTTCTTTATTTACATTTTTGTGAAAAAGAAGCCACTGCATGCTAACAATGTCTAATTTCATTAATTAATACCTAGAGATTCAGTGACAACATAATACTGAAAATGTGGGAATTACATCATATTGTACATGCAAGATAAATATTAAAAAAACTGGTTATGACACAGCTAAAAGCACTGTTTTATTTGACTAGGACTGACTGATTCATTAAACAAAGAACAATTTCCAAAATGTTAAAAAATAAATGTCATGAAGTAAATTCTATATGCAATGGCCATCTTACAATTTCCGGTTCTTGTACTCCGCAATTCTGACCTCATGAGTAATTAATTTCTACATCGAACTGGGAAAGACATATTTCAAAACAACACTTTTTTATCATTTTCCCCAAAACTTTGCAACTGCTGTCTTTATTTTTTTATATTTTTGTGTATTTTACTTGTAAAGGATTTATTTTGAAATGGAGACTTCAGTCTTCAGCTGCATACATTTGTTCTAAGAGGTTTATTTACTCAGTAACAATGCTACAAATCATGATGTTACTTTCTTTTTGTACAATTAGCAGTGAGTTAACCTTCAAAGGACCAATTGTGTTCAAAGATTCACTTATTCTGGAGCAATGACAAAAACTGTGCACATGATGCATTCTTTGACTTCCTGCACGGCTTACAGGGCATTACAAAATGACAAGATTTTTAAATAAGCCCAAATTTCTTTTCTAACTAAAGTGATATAAGATACTGTACTCTACCTGTTTCATTAGGTGGCTGAGATTAATTGTATCAGTCTTATATGGACTTTTGTAGAAAGACAATTGCTTCAGCACCATGGGACAATAATATATCACCACACAGCCAAAGAGGAAGGTCACAATGACTGCCTGGATACAAAATCTTCGGTTTAAGCATCCTTTCTTTAACATCTGTTGAACAGTAAGATCTGTGAATAAAAGATGAAATTATTTCCCAATAATTTTGTCACATGGTGTGAGCAGGGAAAGTCATGATATTGAGGAAAAGATGTGTGGTACCCTCATCCCATAATGCAGACAATCTCTTTTCACAAAATCAGGTATTGCAAATCTTATTCATGTAATACCAACATCTGGCTTTCATTCTATTATAATATGTGAGTAATATCAGGTGAGAGGTGAAATTCTCATAGTGTGATTACCATCTCCTGGGATGTGACATCGTGTAGTCTGGAAAAGTAACCAGCCCCTTCAGTTTAACAGTAGAGATGCCAGGTTCTTCTGAAATACCAGTGATGATCAAGAAAACTACAGAACATCACATCCAAAAAGGTAGTAGTAACGTTCGGGTTATGCCAAAATTTTTTGTTATTTTTTCATTTTCATGCTAAGTATTGTAATCATAATAGCTGACTGACTTGCTTTCACATTACTGTTTCTGTATTATATTTGCCTTACTGAACCACGTTCTGCACCATCTCTACATATTCTAGAGATTCACATCCCATGACTGGCCAACTGAAGACTCTTTTATGTTTCCTTCTATCTACATTAATATTATTATGTATGACACAATACCTTACAGCAAACAGCCAAGAAATACATTCAGCACACAAGACAGAGTAACAGCTTCCACTCCAAGCGCAGAAATCACACTTGACATTTCTTGCCAAATGATTTGTTGCTTCAGAATAAGTTGACCAACAGTGAAAAAATTATAACTATAATTATAGTTCCTGGAGATAACCTTGCAGATATGATCATTTGTGGTGTTTAAGACTTCGTTTAAAAATTCAGAACTCAGCTCTTACCTTCCTTGCATACCACCAGTCGTTCTACACGTAAACAGACCACACATACTCTGCCTTCCCGCACGTTACAATCAACTGTGTGCAGCCGTCACGAATTTCAATGTTATTGTCTGGCAGCGGAGACGCTGTGACGTCACTATTGTATTACACTGCCATCTACTTACAGCATGTAAGCTGTCGCTGCAAAATGGCCCCTGGAACTGCCGAGAGCTGAGTCGGTGGAAAGATGAGCTACTATCAACTATGTTAGTCCTCCCGGATACACAATTCACAAAACATCTAACTTTGTGGAGCTGAGACCATCTTGACAAGCCGCCAATTGTACAGATACTCAAGAACGTCCCAACATTTTATGGAACCCTAAGGTTCATTACCGTGTTCAAAAGAACCCTTCACTGGCTGTGGGCCAGATCGATTCAGACCATACCAACCCATCCTATCTCTCTAAGATCCATTTTAATACTGTCCACCCACCCAAGTCTTTGTCTTCTTAGTGGTCTCTTTCCTCCTGGCTTTACCAACAATATCCTATATGCATTCCTCTTCTCCCTCATTTGTGCTACATGCCTGCCCATCTCATCCTCCTCGACTTGATCATTCCCATTATATTTGGTGGAGATTACAAGTTATGAAGCCCCTCATTGTGCTTTTTTCTTCAACCTCTTGTCACTTCATCTCTCTTCGGTCCAAATATTCTCCTCAGCACCCTGTTCTCAAACACCCTCAAGTCTATATTCCTCCCTTAATGTCAGAGACCAAGTTTCACACCCATACAGAACCACAGGCAAGATTATAGTTTTATATACAGTAGACTCTCGATTATCCGCGGTAATGGCGGGGAGACTTGGCGCGGATAATCAAAAACATCGGATAAACCGAAGTACACATATACAAGCCAGATATACCGGTATAAATTTAACATCNCTATCGTCGTTCCCAAATATCATAACTGTGCCACATTTTCACAACATCTGTTTCCTTTCGTTATGTCATGATTTTGCCCTGCATTTTGGTGACAAGAGAGCAAAAATACTTAGATTCTCTGTGTTTACTTCTAGACCAACCTCTTTACTTGCATCATTTAAAGTTTGTGTGTTTTTCTTTATGGTATCTATATTATCACCCAGTAGCTTCACATCATGGCATAGACCAACAGTTGATGTGTCCCTTTAATTTCAGTCCAACCTGGTTTTCCTGGACCTTCATAATGGCACATTCTAAAGCAAAGTTGAAAAGGAGTGGCAATAGAGCATCTCCTTCTTTTTGACCATTCTGGACAGGAAATTTATCAGACAAATGTTTACCTATACAGATTTTACTATACATTTCATTTAAACACATTTTAATCAACCTAACTAGTTTCATGGGTATCGCAAACTCTGTCAGAATATTGTACAATACTTCCCTCCTAACTGAATCATAGGCTTTCTTGAAGTCAACAAACAGGTGATGTACTGTCCCATCGTATTCCCATTTTTCCTCCAGTGTCTGACGAATGCAAAAGAGCTGATCTGTAGCTGATCTGTTATGTTGAAACCCTCACAGATGATCCCCAATAATTTCATCTATGTATGGACTTAACCTTGAGTGAAGAATATTGGATACAATTGTGTATGAAGTTGATAGCAGTGATATCCCCCAATAATTACTACAGTCAGTTTTACTACCCTTCATATGAACTGGTACAATAATAGATTCCTTCCACTGATCAGGAAATTTTTCCTTATGCCAAATAGAAGTAATTATATATGGATAAATACCGTCTTAAGTGCAACAAATTTTATTGTAGTTTTTACTTCTTTTCCTCCTCCACACTACATGTTTCGGCCCTAAATGGCCATCATCAGGTGTGTATCACTCACGTAGCTGTTACACTGCTTTTTAAAATTTAAAATTACCAGTCTTTCTAATTGTATAAAATCTTTGTTAACTCTTTGACTGGCGCGGGCGTGTTTTAACGCTGGGGTGATGCCAACCGTTCCCTGGCGTTGGCGTGTTTTAACGCTTTGAAAATCTCTTCCCTTATTTGCTCTCTTGGCACTCATCAACCAAAGACATATATATGGTAGTTTTTGTGCATGGTTGTAAAGAACCCTTGTAAACTTTGTGGGGGTCTATATTACTCTCAGAACCCTCTGAAAAGTTCAAAAAATATTTCACATTCATTCAGTTTCACCGTGTCTTCTCGCAGCAATTGTCGACATGTTCCTACAGACCAGCTGGAAAGTGTTGTGAAGGAGATTTGTGCTGATGATGATAGTGGCGATGAAATAATGATTCCTGAATTGGATGAATTTGATAGTGACAATAATACAGTGATAGACAATGATCCACAAGACAGTAATGATGAACATTTAGCTAACACGAGTGCGGTGCCTGACGCCCAGAAAAATACA